CCTGCCTGCACACCTCTTGGTCACCCGAAACATCATTCGATAACGGCAGTGCCATGAGCGGATGGTGGCTAAGTTTTACGAGACCTCGCCACGATCCTCATTTCTTCTCATTTTCTGCTTTAATATCCGTACTTGGGACCGAAAGCGGCTTATTTGAGTTTGGAATAGCTACATATAGACTTTCGTATTATTCATGATTCACTCATGGTATAAAATATGCATGGTCTGTCGTCATTGAGAGTACCACATTTGTGTAAGTTTCAAAAGTTATTTAGCACAATGATTCTTATTCTCTAAGTTTTAATGATATTGTACTATCCCATTGTTTATAGAACCTTAAGAGCATTTTTGAGCAGATAACGACTGTATGTCCAGGTTTTCTTTCAAACTGCGAAGAGAAAAAAATAACTGTATGCCAGTGGCGAATCAGTAAGTTAGTAGAGTCTACTGATTGAGATACCGTGCTACACTTGTTGAGCGTATTGCAACAGCTTTCATGTTTATACACATCCCTTCTTTTAGTTTCCGTTTAGCCTTTCAAACGTAGTTTCCTCTTCAGCTCAATTATGACGCGTATACAGCACTAGACATTTCGTGCTGTGGTAACATTCCGTTCTTTTGTAAGAGATCCAGTGCTTTCGCAGACATCTGCCTGCTGTCCGTGTATTTTTCTTTACAATTTACTCCTCGTGCTGGTATATAGTCAAAACGAATTGCAATCATAAGGCACACGCTTCTGACAACATTGTTCTGTCTTGCATATTATGACATGATCACACTGGAATACCATTCTGGTGCTATAATTCACATGTCGGCGACTGCTATCTTTCCTGGTAGCAACGGTACATGGTTAAGCGAATTCGTTGCTCAAAAAGATTATCTGATAAAAAAAATTTTGCCCCACGCTTAAGGTTTAGACACAGCGTGCATGCATGCAAAGCAAACTACAAACCATTTCGCCATTGTTCCCTTCTTAGACAGCTTTGCTGGAAAGCACTTAGTCAATCCTTATTGGTTCATTGGTTTTTAGTAATGTCACTGTTTTAAGCCGCAGAAAACAATGGGGAGGATTGGTGATGCGTAGATCTTCACTTTTGTTTTCAGGCTTGTGCCTTGCTGGTGCCAAATTTTTGATAATCTTCTAAATGTCATCACCGTTGTAGCAATTCTCTTGTTCAGCTCAGCATAATAGTAGCTCTCGTTGGTAACTGTTTATCCTAAATAATAGAAGCAATCACTTTCGGTCATTCGGTGTGCTGTGAGTGCTAAATTCGTTTTTCACTGTTCTTTCATGTTTCCTTATCCCGTTGGTTATCACTAAGTTGAGTCAAAGGCTTCCACTTTCGGCAGTCGCTTGATCCAGTTTAGCTAGCATCCGTAACTCATGTCCGGTGTCGCTTAGCAAGAGGATGTCGTCGGGGAAGTCGAAATCTGTGAGGTATACGGTTGGATACATTCAGTTGTGCCTTCGGTTTAGCGTCAGTTAGTTTTCTGCTTGATGGTCAACCCTTTGCTTCATCACGCGTAAACAAGGACTGTGGCAAACAGCATAGAAGATAGTGTATCGCTTTATGTCTCACATCGTTTCTCACTTCGAACAATTTCAAGCCATTCCTACTCGCTGTATAACTGCTGCATGATGTTGTTCAGAATACCCGAGTGCCTGAGGCAGGATTTTTTGCATCATCGGTCGATGAATGGGATGAAACACGGCTTTGAAATCGATGAACGGTGCCTATCACTGGAGGTGAAGTTTCTAAAACTGTTGCATGATTCTGCGAAGCGAATATATGTTGCCACTGCAAGAATAGCCCTTTCGAATTCGCGCCTGTTCGGGACTCACCTTTTTAATCTCGTGTTGCATACGCTCCTGAATTATTCAGTCAATGATCTTTCCAGACATGGATTTTGGTATAACGCCAGATATTTGCTGTTGTTTGACTGACTTCCTCTAAAATTGGAATTATAACCCATCTGTCTATGTTTTGACCAGCACCACCTGAAATTATCATGTAATTTTGTGTTGGCTTTAAAAATTCGTTAAGAAAAGTTATTTACTTAAAAGTTGCGCAATTCAAGCAATCAAAAGTTTACAAACTTATAATGCTAAGACAAAATGCCAAAGAATGATAACGCGTAAGTTCTCCAAGACCGAATTTAACGGCGTATCGCCCTGACCCTCTTTATGCTGTAGCATATAAGCAATACCAGCGCCTGAAATATCGCTGTGGTGATCGTGAGATGGCTCTAGTGGATGAAATAATGTCAGATGCATCTATCGCTGCAGGTACTTAAATACTGTAGAGCCGTGGCCAATTCAAATGGCCACTCCCAGGCAACTAAAAGCGAAGAACGGTGCAATACGCTGTGAAATCTTATCTTGGAAGAGTTAGGAGTGATCTGGCATGGTCCGATGTACGAACATACTTTGATTTCTTTGCAGTGCTAATAAAATTTTTTCGGCAAAAATAGGAGAAACGCTCAAATTAACAGATAAACGACTGAAACTATTAAAACCGTTTCAAAACGAACAATGCCAATCAACTAACATCTTTAATCAACAGAAAACAGCCAAAAGCCATGAAAATTTATTTATACCAGTGGAGCTTCGTCACTCGAAATAGTTTTCCTTTCTGGACAAAAACAATAAAATTGTTAAATTAAACATAAAACAAAGGTAACATAAACTATAAAATATCCAGGCAATATTTCAGTGTCAACTCTTCGATTATTGCGTAATTACGCTTTAACCTGTAACTGTATTGTCAGAGAGGACGACTAATCTGCGGCTTGATGGATGACTGCGAGCTGCAGCATCGCACCAAAAACCCTCGCTAATCGACCGGGCTTTGGATCGAGTAAATTTCCTAAACTTCGGTACTGTAACTCATTAACAGCGGTGCTAATCATATCCCACTGCTTTTATCCAATTTTGCAATCTTTGCTGCTATCAGCATAACAGAGTTTTGCAGAAAATGAAAGTGGTATTCACGTTTTTTGCGAAGATTACAAATATTTGCATGACGTTATAATATCGACTCCACTGTCCTTAACAGTGAAGGTAAAATGAGATATAAGACTGTTCCTGTGCAAACTATAAAGTCGTGTTTCACACTTCTCCATCTAACTAGCTTTCTTCTGTGAAAGGTTTTACAGATGAATTTATATTGTTTAAGCCAGTGAACCGAGACCAACGCTTTTTGTATGATTGCGTAGATGTCTACCATCAGTTGGAGTAGCGTCAAATTATTTTCGTGCCACCTGCTGAAGACGTATAGCTATTGCAAATATGACCTGCCTAACAATGTGAGGTGCTAACTGTTTTTCTAGAGCAAAGGTCCGAACGCAATCAAATGCCGAATATTTACACAAGAGCGCATTCGAGGTCACAGGCTAATCATTTACCTCATCAATGGCCAAAAGTAAGTTCGACATTCTGGCAGTTGACAGCGGTGCCGCATTAATCAAATTTCTTTGTTCCAACGGACAGCTGAAAGTATTTTTAGTCGTTACATAGCTGTTCAACGCGGAATGAGCACATTTAAGATTGAACAGCGAGATGGCGGCAGTTGGCGTTCTTTTGCTTACCAATTTCTTGCTCTGGTCATCGATATCCGCTATCTACACACCGGACTGGGCTTCGTTGGATACAAGGCCACTTCCAGAATGGTACGACGATGCCAAGTTTGGTAAGATCTTCGATTTTCTTGCCGAAAGTATTGAAAAAACGCGAAAAGTGCCGCAAGGCGATGTTCGATTCCTGTATAATCCAGCTCACTTCGGCAGTCACTGAAATTTTTTATATTAGTACTAATAATATTTCCATATATTCGACTCCATAGACTTCTCAGGCTGGACAGCCCATTCAGACGGTGCCACGACGACAGCCCCGAAGATACAGTGGTGGAAGCTCGAAGGGAAGCTGAAAGAAGCGTTCAAAATGGCAGTTACGAAGAAAAAAAGACTAAAGAAGACTGGAGTAGGAAAGTGGACGAAGTATGGAAGTGAATGGCCAGCATAATCATATGGAATGCCAGAGACTTGGTTGGAGAAACAACCGGCACAGCACATAGCCAGAATGACGTGGTGGTGGAATGCGAACGTTCAAGCGACCTTACGACAGAAGAAAGAGCTGTTCAAAAAATGGCAATTATCAAACAGCATGAAAGACAGAGTAAAATTTGCCATAACAAAGAGGTACGCAATGAAAATCGTCGCTGAAGCAAACTCTGCACCGTGCAATAGCCTATACGAAAAATGGCAATAAAAGAACAGGAGAAAGACATCTATCACATAACAAAAGCCAGAGAAAAAAGAATAGGAGTCGTCGGTAATATGAAGTGCATGAAAGACGAAAGCGGAATGGTGCTGACCGATGAGGTATTCGCAACCGATGACCAAAGCACTTCCAAATGCTAAACGAGTAACATTCCAGGGAGGTTATGGAAGAGGTCGCACAAAACCAGGATCTAGTCGAAAAGTTCTCACTGGAGGAAGTGGAACAAGGCTTGAGCAGAATGAAAAATTAAAAGGCAAGAGGGCGAAGTTCCCGTACAAGTATGGAAGGCACTGAGGCAAGAGGGCGTGACTTGGCTCTGCGCGTTATTCAACAAAATTATGGAATGTGAGAAAATGCCAGAATCACGGAGGCAGAGTATTTCGATGCCAGTGCAGAAAATGAAAGGGGTCATACTCTTCTGTGAAAACTACCGGGAAATTAAACTGCTTAGCCACGCCATGAAGATATATGAGAGGGTATTGGAGAAAAAACTGATGAAGGAGGTCGACATCACCACGACCAATTTGTCTTTATGCCAGGCAGATCAACCACGATGCTCTCTTCGCTTTAAGATCAGTCCTCGAAACATGCAGAGAAGGCAGACAGAACATTTACACGGTGTTTCTAGGCCTGGAGGAAGCTTTTGACCCATTCCCGAGGGAAGCAATCTACTAGAGCGGGAGAAAGAAGCTTGTGCCAGAAAAATGTCAGGCTTACCAAAGACATGTACGACAGAGTGACAGCGATAGTCCGAAACACATGCGGCGAAACTGAACAGTTCCCTATACGAGTAGTAGTCCACCACGGATGCGCACTGAGCCCATTTCTGTTTTAGCGACAGACGCGATAACTGAGGATCTGCAGGAACCAGCCCGATACTGCATGCTCTATGCAGATGACGTTGTACTATGCAGCAAAGCAGAGAAACTGTAGAATCAGAAACCGAGGCATGGAGAACAGCTCTTGAGAAGAACGGCCTTCGACTCAGCAAATGGTAGTCAGAGTACATGGCAGGCTATTTCCGTGGGGAAAACAGATCGAACCAGTGAAAGTAGCGGGGTGCTTGCTGCCTCAAACCCAAAAATTCAACTATCTTGGTTCTATCCTGCAAGATAACGCGGAAATCGACAGCGAAGTAAGAAATCTGTCGAAAAAAGCTTGTTTCAAATGGAAAGAAGTGAGCTGAGTACTGTGCAACAAGAATATGTCCATCAAACTGAAAGAGAAGGTGTACAGAACAACAGTAAGACCCGTGCTTCTGTACGGAGCGGAATGTTTGGCTGCACGGAACAGACATGAGCAACAGCCGAACTCGATAGAAATGCGAATGCTCAGATGGATGTGTGGTGCCAGCAGGAAAGGACACACCCGAATGAGCTTCAATAAGATGCACTGCACTCTAAGCCTAGCAGCATTCTCAGATAAGCATATGGAAAACAGGCCACGTTAAGAGAAGACCCACGGAGTACGTTGGAAATGTGGTCCAAATACTGATACTTCCGGGAAAGAAAGAAGGGAGAGACCGAAGAAAAGATGGCGCGATGTCGTCAGGAACGATATGAAACTGCGAGGAGTCTCTGAAGATATAACGAATGACAGAAAGATGTGGAGGAGGTTGACTCGATTACCAGACCTCTGTTAAAGGGAACACGCTAGAATAAGAAAAAGACTTCTGTGACCGGAGGTTCCTGTTGAGGTGTGAAATAAGATTTCTTTATTAACTGCTAATTTCCTTCAGCAAACGATTCCTTTCACTTACCTTCACAGATATCAGACGAGTAACAGATACCATATCAGTGAACAAACAATTCAGACAACATGTTGTTTTATTGTCGTCATATCCGTCTATGACCTCTCAGTTATGCACGGTGTGATGCAAGGAGTAGCGTAATTGTTGACTGGTTTAGTACAATGTGAAATCTATGACTAAAAAATAAGTAAAAGTCGACTTGTATTAACCTCGTATATCATTAGTGCTGTCACAGTTGTTTTGACTTGTTCCCCATGCTCCCATTGTTTCTAGACTAACTAAAGTTCTACCCTTCTTGAATGATCAGTAGTCAAAAGTTACCTGAAATCCAACTTGCATAACAAGTCTGCAAGTGTAACTATCAGGAGAAACGATAGGGAAGGTTGACTCTATAAGCACGTATTTTCTATCGTCTCCAACGACAGTACCTGTCCATAATAGTTAATCAGAACGATCGACGTTATGTTCAGTAACTTCAGTAACCTATCCATTATTCTGCTGGGAAAGTAATATCACAAAAGTCGGCTTGTACCTTGCCTACACCTGACTTAAAGAGAGACGTTCTGGTTAACTCTCAAGACAACAGCGCCGGTTTCGATGCATAATGAGGAATAAATGGGTCTGCCATCTGCTGAACGACTATTCTCTTTCAGGCACACGTCGTCAGTGGAAGCAGAGGCTAAGAAAAGGAGGTTGGCTGTTTCATATATGTTAGTTGATCACAGGCCCTTCACTTCAGCCCGAGAGCCGAAAAACGCCACACGTTGATCTGCGGCCAGCATGCACAGTGACAAATGAGCTAGAGCCAGTTATGCCCTTTTCAAGAAGTGCTTCTTCTACGATGCATTTCTCTGTCACCGTTGAAATGTCGGTCTTCTTTCACTCTCATGATTGGACCATTTTGGCGCCTTTCTTCATCAAGTTGATGGTACGGCGTTGATCTCCGTTTCTATGCCTTCAGCCAGAATTGCCTTATTTTAATCACAGACTCTACAGTCATATCTCATTTATCAACCTCGGAACAAAGAAAGGCGAGTGACCCCAATGATTACGATGCAGTAACCGGTTCCGTATACTGAAGACCTAAAAATCCTTAAAAATCACGGACAGGCAACCTTCTTTTAAAGCAAAGGTCTCAAGTTGGAGATAATGACCACAACAACTTGCAAGAGTCGCCAGTTATTTGCGATTTACCATATAGGATAATAGGTTGTTTTGCAGGTCCTAGGCTCTTGTTCCTCTTGCTATTTTCATATTCGTTACGCGCATTGTTCATTGTATAACGAATTTCAATACTCTCTAATTAATTACTTTGATGTACTGTCTAACTAACAGTTTCGCTTATGAAGTATAAAAAAACTTGAGTTATGCATTCTACCTCTAATAGTTATTTATCCTTCAAAATGCTAGACTTATCTGTCAGTTTCTACTGAAATGTTTTCCTTGTATTGCTAGCGTATATCGTCGGTAATTGTAATATACGTGTAATTGTTAGTTATAAATGGCTTAACGTAGAATGAGTATCAGATATTTTGAGGTTAGTATGATTGATTTGTTAGGTCTGAAGTTTACACTAGGTTATGCTAGCTGCTGTCGCAAAGGTCATCATTCGCAACGTGAAAGGCGAGTTTTCCTGCATGATCTACAGAATGTATCAAAAATTCCTAAAATGTCTTTCTGTTTACTGGAAGATTCCGATGGGGTAACGTTTATCTGATGCCTTCTGGCTCAGCATACGTTCAGTTAAACAAACCATTATTTTAAACAGAAATGTTATTTTGTTGTCTTAAGACAGAAAGCGGAATAGAATCGTTTCATAATATGATTTGTCTGTTGAACACATAATGACAACTCAAGAGCTAGGCCGAAGGAGAATTTAAATAGTCAGTGGACAACATCATGAAATGAAAAGCAAGGAATTATATTCACGTCATTTTGATTGTCAAAAGTGCAGAAAAAGCGGCCAAAGAAATTGTCTAGAGTTATCATACTGTCGTTCCTTTTAAGGGAAGAGAAGGAAGTATGTTGTTTGCGTCAATACAGATTAAACAATACAAATTCCTTCATCAGCCTTACTTGCTTCAATAAATCAATATGTTATTTTTAGGAATTTTCATGCATTGGGGAGTTTATTCAGTACCATCGATTGGCTCAGAGTGGTTCTGGTACCAGTGGATAGTTGACGGTCGAAAGGACTACATCCAGTACATGACTAAAAACTACAAGCCTGGCTTTCATTACGCCGATTTTGGCCCGATGTTCACAGCCGAATTGTTCGACAGCGACCGCATTGCGTCAATAGTAAAGCAATCCGGAGCCAAGTAATTTCCACGAATTTTATTGCTGTTTTAGTTCCCTTTTGGCTCCAAAGTTGTGCTTATATTTATGTTGTTGCGTATATTTGTTTACTGCTCTTAGCGTAGTTAAACATTTAAAATTCAGTGTTACCCCCTTCTTGCGCCTTATTGCATGAAGATGACATTAAAGCAGGCCATGTTTCCATGGTGTTTGAGTGGTTGCGTTGAATATCACGTTATTGTTGGCCACTAAAAAGCGGTATTTATCTTAAGCTTTCGTAAAGTTGCTGAAAATACTGTTTCTTATACCCTAGTAACTCTGGTGCTACTCTCTTTTAGAAATATCGATAGGACATCTAAGCAGACCATCACTCAATGGTATTTCAGCAGCGCCACCTGCACCGCATGCATGCAAGCAGCAGAGAAATTGTTTTAATCCGTCAGCATCATATTATATCGCATTTATGGCGTTTGTTTGCATAACTACTACCATAGGGAAGGATTAATGAGTGTCACATATTAAAGCCGCGATGCTTCGTTTATTTATTAGAGTAACTACTTATTCTTATTTATTTACTGAATATTTGGTTCTTGCTTTGGTGGTCACACTGAAAACAGCGTCAAACACTGTTTATGCATGCGTAATATAAACAATGCCAACCCATTTCTGGCTCCAAAGATATCAACCATTGCGCAGGAGAGAAAGGATTTCTAAAGTCAACCAACCTTTTCGCCTTGAAGACGACCTTCTGTGAGAGACGGGACAAAATGTTGGTACCGATCAATCGTTGGTGTTGTTTACAAATAAATTGTTTTATTTTGTTTTATTTATTTTTGAAAGGTGCTACTTGAATTGTTTATGCCGTGTGCAATTTTTCAACGCAATGATTGTCAAAAGGTCTACATATACGCGTATATATTTTAAATAAAATTTAATTTTAATTAAATTTGAAATATATGTTCAGGGCTTTAAAAGGCTTCGTAAACTGTTTTTGAGTTATGCCTCAAAAAAACAGCAGTGTTTGTTGTGTCTTTCTAAAGAAAGATTCAACGCGATCCGTAACGTAAGACATTTTATTTGCATTATATTTTTATTGT